TTTTTTTTTCCCTTCTTTCCACGATTTTTTTTTTTGTTAATTCCACAACAAATTTACCACATAATTTTTACTGTAACTATACCACTTCTTCTAACTCAAATGTGATACCACATGTCATCAATCGAAGCAGTAGATTTCGATTGGTGACATGTGGTATTACAGTTGAGTTAGAAAAAATGGTTAAGTTGTAGTAACAATATGTGGTAAGTTTGTTGTAGAATTAACAAAAAAAAAAATTAAAAAAACATGGAAAGAATAAAAAAAATAAACACTGCTAAATCAAACTATACTACATCATATTTTCCATGCAGTAAAAATTTGATTTGAGTTAACTATTTTACAAATGATATACATCAAAATTCTACTTCAGCTATACCATATCTCTAATGCAAAAAGTTAAAAATAAATTATGACTGGTAACATTTTTGAGTTATGACCATTAATCAAACTTACCACATGATGATACCACATGTCACAAATCAAAGCCGTAGTAGAGTTTGATTTAGCATTTTTTTTTTGTTTTTGGGTTAATTGCACAGTAAACTTACCATATAATTTTTACTGCAACTTACATCAAATAATACTATTTCTTCTAACTCAATTATGATACCACATGTCACCAATCGAAGCCGATATCCATCATTTGAACATGTCTGATTCAACTTTTTTCACCATCTCTATGGCTCCATTGATGCAAATTTGTCGTCAGGAAAATTTTCCACATTGTTGGCTCTGATACCACATATAGAATCACAAAATTAAGAACATATACATTTAACAAGATAACTCTCTTATTAATTGAAGGGAAATAACTCAAAACCTCAAGTTCTCAATCCGAGAAGTTATTCAACAACTTTAGCATCTCCTTATATAAAGAAAGACAAAAACAATTTCTAAAACCAATTAGGAAAACTTACATTTAGATAACTCCTAAATCTCTTATATGTATATTTAGATATCTCTTAAATATACTTAGCTCTGACCTCAAACTACTTCAAGCTTACAACAACATGGATCCTCCATTTTCGACGAATGTCGGTCCCTTTTGTCCTTCTCTAGTATTATCAGAGACATTTCTTGAGGAACTTTCTTGATCATATAATGTGTTTCTCTGATACCATTGGACTTAGTCACTCCGCCTCAGCCATGAGATTCCTCTTATGGTATGTCGGCTGCAAGTGTCTTCTCTCACTGCCGTAGATTCAAAGCAATGTCTCTTTCTTACTTTTTCTTTGTGTTTGTAGCAGTGATTTCTCTCCTTCTTCGCTAATCCTTTTTAGCCTTGTCATGCCCTTCTACTTTCCTCCCTTCCACGAAAGAGAACTTTTCCATAGTTGTAAAAATGAACTTGCTGGCCCTGAAAAATCGGGGCCAGAATAATTTAGTATGGTTTTGATGAATTTTGAGGCCAAAAATCAATTTTTCAAAGTATGAGGGCCAAAATCAATGCATAATTTTTTTTAAAAAATGTGGGGGCCAAGCCCAAAGCCTCACTGGACTTGCCTCAGGACCGGCCCTGCAGTTTTCAGATGCAATGCCAAATTTTTATTGTCAGTGTATGAGACTAGAAGATGAAACTTAATTTGTCTTGGTAATTTTCAGATGTAAAGATTAGCATACAACGTCACAATCCCAATTCGAAGTGATTAATTGTCAACAATCATGCTTTGTCATGACATTTAAACGACACATTCAAGCTATGGCTCCAATTCATTTTCAAACTTCTATGAAAATCTATCCATTTTACTTCCTTGTTTTAGTGTAATTTGAAAATTTACATTACGATAAAAGTCAAATAAGAGTTCGCGAGAATTCTAAACGCTTTTAGGTCTAAAATTTAAGGTAGCCGGCTTACAAGTTCTCACAATGTACTTCAACATCCGGCGACCATCAGCCTCCTCCTGAATGATTCAATTTCATCTTCTCAGGTAATTTAAAACCTTCCGAAGAACCATTTTTTTCCGCTAATTGCTCTTGTCATTGACAAAGATTTTTGTTATGTATTTTCTGCATATAGCGTGATGAGAATCATTGTGCTTCTTATACACCATATCTTTGAAATTTCAGGGACCCTAGTATGATATCATTGACAGATATGGCATTCACTTTGATAATGGTGCTAAGTCCGCTTGCGTTTGTGTTCTTCGTCAGTCGGAACTCATTTCGCAGCCGCTATATCTTCGCTCAATCTTTGTAAAAAAAAAAATATATCAAATGTATAAATGATAAAAAAATGGTTTAGTTAATCTTCTATTTAAATTAACTTTTTGATAGAGATTATTAAAAACAATGTGAGTATTCCACCTTCTTGAATACATTGCTGAATGTAATCTTCATTATAGTTTATTTTACCAATTTAATGTTTAGTTTTAGCTTTGCAAAAGTTTTTAAAAAAATAGCCTCGAATATGAAAAATATATATGAGAAAATGAAAGTAAAACATGTCATTTGACATTCTATGTATATCTTGTAGTGAAACAACTAGCTGAATAAGCCTAAGTTGCATAAAGAGATCGTATATGAGTTATTACATAGTTACAAATAAATTAGAGAAACAATAAAAATTAAATGAAATTATTGGAAGTGGTGAAAGAGAGGGATGAAGTCAAAATGAAACTGAAAACTGTGAAAATCAAAATTGTCCAGTGCTATTGTATCTATTCCCAACTCTCCCCAAAAATCTAATTGTACTTCCCCATATATTTCTAACTAATCCATTTATCACTTTATTTCTTTTAACATCCAGATCCATAATTATTATAGATAAACTAAAATATTAAAATTAATTTTTGGATTCAAAATGGAAGCATGAAATTATCCAGTAGTCAAATAAATCTATTGAAAACAAAGTTACTTTGTTGTGATAACATAGAACAAAATCTATTTCAACAGCTTTGAAGATCTTATCTATATATGGTTTAGATTACTGTTAATGCTTTTATAATTTTGTACATCATTGAGTATCTTTCAGAAATCAATATGTATAAGAATTAGTTAAAGTATTCTCTAGAACTTTAGAATATTCTTTTGTAGACCTTTTACATCTTATATGAATTTCTCGAATAATGATTTTTCCATTCTTGCACGCGATTATACAGCATTTAGTTTTCCTAGACCATCGATGCCACAGAATGTCTACACTACTTCTGAAAGTAGGGGTATTTGATAAGATTGTTATAAATGAATACAGCTAAATATGAGTAGCTTTTATTTATAGCCTGCAGATCTATATACACAAACACACAAGTCACACAACACAGTTTGGAAATTCCAAGTTCAACGCCGGAAAAGTTAATGGAATCTTTAATTTATGCTTACCTAATGGGTAAAAGGATGTTCGATTATGAAATCTTACATATTTATTTTACATATATCATATATAAATTAAAACAAAAAAATCAAATATGCGATGTCAAGAACTCAAGATGAGTACGTTTTCTTGCTAAAGAACTAACTGCGACAATCTCGTGGACTTCTCTCCTCATAACTCATACACCGTTTTATGAAAAAAATAGTTAGCAACGAATCGGTATATCACATTTACTGGACGATTTACTTGAGTATGGATATAAAATAAGTGCATTGTTATAAATTTATATATAAAAGTGTAATGCATACATATATGTTTTGATGAACGCGATTGACTTTGACTTGACTATGCATATAAAATACGTGTATATTAACAAAAGTAGGCTAAGCCCGCGCGATGCGCGGATTATAACTATTACAAAGTTTTGTTACTTATATTTTAATTATTATTTGAATTTTGTAAATTTTTTTGTCTCTTAACGGTAGCATATTGAAAATCTTATATCCTAAATTGAAAGAAAAAAAAAGCAAATCCAAAATTCTAAACTTAAACCTTATACCATAAATCATAAACCATAAACTTTTATTCCAAAATAAAAACATTAAATCAGAATTAGCAAAAAAATAAAATAAAAGTCATTCCAAACCCTTATATGTAAACCCTTAAATATAACCCTTACATGACAAAGAATCTAACACTTATACAAAATCATACATTTTTGTACGATTACATATTTTTCTAAAATGAATATATTTTGTTAATACTTAAAAAAAAATTTCAAATTAAACCAATTCACCCAAATCTTAAACTCTAAACCTTAAACATAATTAATGATTGTATATATCTAAAATTTTGAAGTAAATTTCTATATTGTTTCTTATTTTGTCTAAAATCAAATATTCAAAAATGGTAGCCTTTGTTTCATTATATGTTAAGGTATTAATGTTATTGATAGGAGTCCAAAAATGGATTTGGATGTAAAGAGACAATCAGAAAATGTTAATTGTTTATGTTCTCCTTTTCTAAACTTTGGCACTTCGGACTCATGCCTCCGTGTAGAGAAGAGTTGGTGAAAGGATTAGAGTAGAGACGCATGGCCTATGAGGAAACACTGTTCAATCATTATTTCCCTTCCATTTCAACGACTCGGACCTCGCACAACTTCTCTCTCCCGGCAACTACTCCAATAGTAATGCCTCCCTCTGCTTCCCAAAATGACGGAGCACTGGTTTTTCATTATAACAGGTTGTACGTAAGTGCACTTCTCCGAATCTCTTTTCATTTATCAACACGTGTGCTGTAGATGTAAACTATAAATAATTTGCATTGTTACCAATACCATGACTCTTAAAGTTGTTGTATCCATCTTCATTCTCTGTTCCTTGTTTTTAACCCCGACAAGACTTCATGTACAGAACCTTAAGCGATTACTATGTTTCATATATATGAGCTTGGTGGAAAACAAAGTAAAAATCCAAGGAATGATCTTAAAAATGTTTAGTTATGAATCCAGAACTTAGTCATAGAGCGTATACAGCAAAATTAACACTTTTTACAGATCACTGATTGTTCTAAAAAAAGAAAATTATTCAAAAGCATACTAAACCCAACATTTTCAAGCTAGATAGACCTGGCCGTATTTTTTACTTTTCCGAGGGGCGACCCTATGTCAGTACTCATATTCCATCTCTTATGTGCAGCTGCTGAATCCTCCTGCAACAATATCCAACAAACAGAATTTTAAACATTTTAAGCAATTTAGAACTCTACTTCATCTATTCGGAAATTCCACCCGGTTTCAAATCTATATGGATCAACTATCCACCAAGGATTTGGAATTGCCATAAAGATAAATTTACTCTACCACGTCTTAATTTTGTATGACACCAAAAACGCACGTACCTAAGTATCCATGTGAACACGGTTTGAATTTAGCTCTTTCCCATCTTTGTAGTCGATTCCGTACAAACAGTCTCGAACTTTGATGTTTCCAAAGAAAAGCAGATCCCTGGTACTGACAATGCACAAAAAGAGAAGAAGTGAGAAACAAATAATACAAGATGATATTTAGGTAGAGTCTTTGGAGTGGGAGTGAAAGAGACGATAACAAAGCTGCCTGTTACCCTATAACTAAACCCTTGAAAACTTAAAATTAAAGGGAAGCATACATGAGAGGTGAAATCTAGAACAATAATAGAACATGCTCTATATCTATATTTGTTCCCATCTTACATTTTTACACTTTGCCATCTCCATGGTTTGCCATTGCAAACCGCAAAGAGCGCTCTTTCTCAAGGCTTTGACATTTGCTCATAATTGATAATTCTCAATCTATAAAAGTTTGAAACCTTAATTTCTCCTCATAATTGATAATTCTTAATCTATAAAGTTTGTAACCTTTCCCGATTTCCATCATGAACAGATTTTATCACTCACACCAAATACATAGTTTGCTACAATCACATACTCATAACTTATATCGATCTACAAGAGAAAGAGAGAAAGATATCTAGGAGTTGTACATACCACAGCTATTAGAATTTTCTAAGTTATTGTAACTTCACATCCATCACTTCTTCCGCTGAAATATGCATCCTGAACTATAACGGCACACAGACAATTGTATATCTTTGATCACTGCTCCCACCGATCTCAGTCTGAAAAATACAAAACGATTAGAACTAAGGTATTTCCTATGAACTGATAAATCGTTAAGTAGCTTGCTTGATTGTTTTGAAGCACATTGTTAGCAAGAAGGATACCGTCTATCCTTTTCGTAGCAACGACAAAAACAGAAGCTTGAGGTCCTCTTCCTCCACCTCCGCCGAATCTGACACTCGAAAAACCGTGTCCATCTTCCTCTCCTACTCTGACACCAGATCCGTCTTGCAAAGTGTGGTCGTTGAGCTTTCTATATTAACGGCGATCGTAATACTCAAGAGTTCTCTTTGCCAACTTTTTCAAAATCTTCGCTAATCATGTAGACACTTATTCTACAATTTCACTCAAAGATCTGAAATTAATTTTGGAAACCAGCTTGATTGTGAAACTCCGTGTCCATGTATATGAGGAGAAGAACCATATCGACTTAGAGATTGAGGGTATCTTTTCTAATAGCTCAGTTCAATTGTTTACACAATTAAATGTACAATCAATGATGAATGAACTGTAACGATGGAAGGAAGAAGATGGAGAGAAAGTGAAACGTTTCAAAAGCGTCGACGAAAAAGAAGGTCACGACTCACGCACGTGTCACGTATTTTTTCATACCGAAAGAGTAGTATCTTCTTAAATTCATAAAGCATAAGAAAGGAAGGGAAGAGGCGAACCTGCAATAATCGGGATCATACGGATCCCTAAGAACGACGAAGCGGCTTGCCGTGGGCGACGATACATGCATCTTGAACATTGGGTCTATCAAAGCTAGATGTGAGTCGCGGCGGTATCGGTCTTTAACGAAACCTCATCTCCACCGGCGAATTAAGCAAATCTCGCTGCCGGGGCCTCATCGGCGAACGCCTGAGAGATCGGGATTCCACGAAGCCCTTGCTCGTCTGCAACCACATCATCGGCTGCTAATCTACCAAGAGCACCAGCAGCAGCAGCAGATCTCATTCGAAGGCAGCATTTCCGTCCACTACTCAGTTCCCGTGGAACAAAACTTGCGCTCCGAGGCGTCGTCTGTGGTTGAGAGGAGACGATGTTCGAGGCGGAAGGCGGCTCCGGTTTCGTTTGGCTCGTCGTCGTTTCTAGGGCTTCTGCTTGAAGCCATAGGAGATTTGGGGCTTTTTTTATAAAATCAAACATTGCAAAAGGATTGATAAACAATTTTTCGTTTGTTTTTTTAGTTATTTAAAAAGCTGCCACATATCAAATTTTTTTTAAGTAGATGAATGACAAGTGTCAGCAAACTGAAGAGAGTTATTCATTTATTATATATAAGATACTTATATTATCTAACTGGAACCTCGTAGTCTCGTACACTAGCTTGACTCTTCCAAGTGTCCATGTCGTCGCTTTTCTTCTCGACACAGCTCATCTTCAGGGACAGATTTGCAACAATCGGCATGGCTTTTGACTGCGGATTTAAATAAATGGTTAAAGAAGCGAACCAAGTTATCACCAAAGGACCGACGGTTTATGGGACGATTTGTTTTACGTTTGGGATCACTAGCTAGAGGGATTTGCATGACGGCGTTGCTAGCGATGAATGTGATCGGATGTGTACGTAGTGGTTAACGGCGATGAATTTTGCTGAGTGGGGATATTCTCGTCCTATGTCTTCGTGATTTACGTGATCATAGGCTTTACATGAGTTTACAATTACCCGATGGTTGTGGAAATACAACTAGTGATGGAATTTGTAGCGACGGTTTTCGCACCAATTGGTATGGCTTATATCTCATATGAAGATATAAATTCTTTTTATTTATTTATTAATCTGTTTTTTTTTTTTTTTTTTTTTTTTTTTGGTTGTTGTTGTTGTAGTTGAGAATCTTTTTGAGCATGTTAAAATAGCAACAGAAATTTAGTTTTTTTTAAGTCATCTTTGTTTTAAAAAAAAAATAGTATATCACATAGATCGCATGCTGGAAAACTAACTAGTAATACTTCGATAATCTCGTGGTCTCTCTTTAGGCATAAACCTCATAAGCCGTATAATAAGATAATTGGTTAGTAGACTCAATAGTCAATAGAATCACATATGTTATGTTAAAATAATAATTTATAGAAACAAGTATTGAGATAAATATGTTGACTGTGAATATAAAACGAATATATGGTAATATACTCTTTTTGGTTCAAAATTTATAGTAATATTTCTAATTAGTATATTTAATTACAATAGCATAAGTAAATCTGTCACGGTGTCAGCATATATACATGAGTGTACATGTGTGTGGTTGTGAGACTGAACCATTCATTTCCTCTACCGAAACGTCTTTCACTTTTTCAACTCTTCTTCTCCTCTTCTTCCTCTCTTATGCAAAATCACAGTCCCAAATAAAATCAACGAAAATTGAGATAATTAAAAACAGATTCTCAAAACACAAAGAGACAAAAATGAACGACGGTCAAGTCAACTCAGACCAACAACAACAACAACAACAAAGTCTGGTCAAACCACCGGCTAAGCGATCTCTCGCTCTCCTCATCGCCACTTACGGTTGTCTCTTCGTCGGATCAATCGCCTCGAGCCTCCTCGCCAAGTACTACTTCGTCCACGGTGGCTCCAGCCGGTGGGTCTCCACGTGGGTCCAGTCCGCCGGGTTCCCTCTCCTCCTCTTCCTAATCTACTTCCCTCCCTACGTCTTCAAAACAACCACTCGCCGTCCTTTCACGCGCTTCACGCGCCGCCATTTCATCTTCTCCTTTTTGATCGGCCTCGTGCTCGGATTTAACAACTTCCTCTTCTCTTGGGGAACCTCGTACCTTCCGGTGTCCACGTCATCGCTTCTCCTGTCGACACAACTCATCTTCACTCTCCTCCTGTCTGTGATCATCGTGAAACAGAAGATCACTTTCTCAAATCTCAACTGCGTTATTCTCTTGACGCTGAGCTCTGTTTTACTAGCTCTCGGTTCGAGCCAAGATAAACCAGCCGGTTTAACAAAAACCAAGTATTTCATCGGGTTTTTATCCACGGTCGGAGCCGGTTTACTCTTCGCGCTTTACCTCCCCGTGACGGAGAGGTTTTACCGGAGCGTCTACTGTTACGCGATGGTCATGGAGATACAACTGGTGATGGAATTTGCAGCGACGGTTTTCGCAACGATCGGTATGGCTTTCGACGGCGGGTTTAAAGAAATGGTTAAAGAAGCGAACCACGTTTTCACCGAAGGACCGACGGTTTACTGGACGGTCGCGATTTTCGTGAATGTGGTGACGTGGCAGCTCTGTTTCGCGGCCACGTCGGGGATGGTTTATTTGACGTCTGGGATCACCGGAGGGATCTGCATGACTGCGTTGCTGGCGATGAATGTGATCGGGGGTGTGGTGGTTTACGGCGATGAGTTCGGCGGAGTGAAGATTGTGTCGACGGTGCTCTGCATTTGGGGATTCTCGTCGTATGTGTACGGGATTTACGTGAAGATGAAGAAGGAAGAGAAGAGAGAGAAGGAGGAGAAGGAGAAGGGAGGATATTCAGGCGTGAAGACGACGGACGACGGAGGAGAAGAGGGAGAGAGGGAGGTGGAGATGGGTAAGGTTAAAGATGACGTGGCGGCGGCGGCGGATGATAGGGTTTGAATGATATCTGTGTGATTGAGACGGCCGTTACGATTATTAGGAAATGCAAAAAAAAAAAAAGGTAGTATCTTTTTGTGTTCTTTCTTTTTCTCACCTTATTTTCTTGTTTTTGTTTTTTAAGTAAATGCATTTGCTTTTTTTAGGTTGTTTTTTTCTTCCTCTTTTGGTTTTTTTTCTATGAATTATCATCTATCGTGGACAAAACTAATTATGTACACTTTAAGTGTGTGGATTTTGACGATGTCGGTTGCTGGTCGATAAGCATCACTATATTATTCTTAGAGTTATGTCTTATTCAATTTGGTACTATTAAACTTTAGAAAAGATTTCACTCGATAGTCACAGAACAAATCTAAAGCAAAAAACTTAAGATCTTACTGGAAAAATTCGTTTGGAGGAATACCAGTCCTAGATACTCGAATTTCGTTACGAAGAGATAAGAATGTCTAAGAAGATCCAATCGAATAAATCAGCATTAGTAATTATAGGAAGTTAGTGACAGTCAGTCAATAAATTCATTAATCGCCATTACTCATGAGACTTTTTCGTCAGTTGCCATGATTTCAGATAATCTCAAACTCCAACAATTTTAACATTTTAGATCTACAAAATATATTCCAGATGATTTTTTTTTTTTACCGAATCCGTTGTTATAAAATCAAAATACATCACTATAATCCGTATAGTTAAGTAACTAATGATGAGTTGTTGACATAGCTTGTTGGTTACATACATACCTTTTTGTTTTTAATTAAAACCAGCATCGAATGACAAAAGAATAAATAATAGTAGAAGATTTGAGATAGATTCAAACGTAACGTAATCCTTTTCACAGCACTGGCGAAGATATAACGGCATGCTTAGCTTTCCTCTCTTTCTTTTACCTTCGATTTAATTATAGAGAGCACAATTCTCGAGTTAATGATTTAGCAAGATTAACTTTTCTCTCCTTTCTTGCATGTTTTTTGCATTTTGTTTGAGCGTTTTGCAATAGATGAGTTTGCTTAGACAAAAAAAATGTTTTCACATTACAAAGTTAATTTTACAGGAGACAATTCTTTTCCACTCCACAAGGATTACGATCACAATGAACGATTCTATTTACACGAAGCTGAAGATTTACTATAGTGGAGAAACGCAAGATGGGATCTAGATAGGCAGATCATCAACACGATCAAAGCAAGACATTGGCTCAGATAAGTTTTCATCAGAATTTGTCACGGAACCATCTGTTTTGGATTGCTCTTTTGTATAACCATCTATCTTCATTAATATGATATTTACAGTTTTAGCTAAAAAAAAAAGATTTACCATATACTTACCTCAACTATATCAATATGTATCTTGATCGGGTTTCTTCCAATGTGGTTACAGTGTGTGTCTAACTTGCGGAAGTAACTTTGTTTGTTGTACATTTTGGTCTTTCTTTTCTCTTAGTTTTCTCTGTAATTCTGTCAAAAATCAAAAATTGGTATAAAATCTTCACATTTTACCAAAAAAAAAACTATATCAATATGTAGAAAACATTTGCGGTATTTATTTTTTATGCATATGCATGTACTCTTAAAAAAATTCGTACTGTATTTATATAGGAACGAATGGTGAATATTGAATACTGTGAATGCATATCACACAAACCAATAGCTGGTTTACATGTCACACCCAGTTGTAACGTACGGGACACAAAATACCCAAAAAGAAAATGGAAGTGCTCACGATCTCTAAGATTCCAATTAGAAACATACTCCGTATTAATGATGGTTAATTAGAGAGAATTAAGAAGAAAAACAATTGAATGGGGAAACAAAGAAGGGACATGCTTAATTGGTGATGATGCAGCTTGGCATTAACTCGGTGTTGATTAACAAAATTGTCTCCTTGATGCTTCTTTGGTTTTTGTATTTTTCTTCGAGCACTTTCAAATGATAAGGATTGTTTTATTATTATCCTTTGTTTTTTTTAATACTGTATGGCACTATGGTCTATGCCTCCCTCTTCACTAATATTGTAAACCTTTGTGAATTGCTGCTTAGAGCCCACAAAATCCAAAATTTTGTTGCTTTTGATTCAACTACAAATTAAATCGAAGTTATGACACAATGTAGGGTAATGTATGTTTCCATGACGTGTTTTAAACAAGACTCTACAATGCAAACATATAATTAAATATTGCTCATTGTTAATCTCTCATAAATGAGATTAAGATACAGTCCTTAAAAGAATCGCTAAATCGTTCAATTATACAACATTTAGACACAAAATTATTTAGCGACCATCTATATTATCAACTACTCTCTCTGTTTCACAATATAAGGGGTTTTGGAGTTTTTTTTTTTTTTTTTCATAATATAAGAGGTTTTCAAATTTCTGTGCAAATTAAATGTGGTTTTGTTACTTTTGATTATTTATATTGTGCAGAATACTTTTTCATTGGTTGAAATGTTTAGAAATTGATGATCAAATATATTTTATTGTAAAAAGTACAAAAATTAAATGAACTTTTAATCTTTGAGCAAAAACCTAAAACCCCTTATATTATGAAATAGATGGAGTAATAGTTATGAACATGCAAATCCTTATATATACTAACTCTTTAGAAAGAAAAAGAAGAAGAGAGAATATAATTCGTGTGCTATGACTCTATGAGACACCCATATATTTATTGGTAGATTACACTCTATGATACAAGTTGTATCAATTGTAAATAATGATAAGTAAGCAAATTGTTTGTGCATGTAAAATCGTAGGAGGTGTGTATTAGTTAAAGTAGATTAACCCTATAAACGTTGGAAATGGCATGAAAACTCATCGATCTATATTTGTCGTTGTGAAACATGTTTTAATAATTAAAAAATCATTTTCTAAAGTTTTAATAACATAGTTTAAATTATTCATGTATTCCAGTTTACTTTTCCCCAAATATATGGGTTTTCTTAAAAGCAAAAGTTAGTAAGCAAACTTTATATCTTATAAAATTAAATGTTTTTTCATAAAAAAATGTTAGTAAGCATATTAAACAAAACGAAACTTTGAAAAATGAAAGTTAGAAACAAGTTAAAAAAATTAGAAAACAAAAGATACAGTGAATACTTGATAAATTTTATAACTCTCTTCAACAAATACAACTTTTTTGATCCATTTAAAGTTATTTCTCATTGTCCAGTTATATTTTAAGGAAACTTGATTTACCACCTTAAGAAAAATATGATTTGGTATTCTTTTTTTTGTATTGTGATGTGGCAGTTTTAATGACTACTTACTTGAAAAATTTTACAGATTTTTCCAGTTATATATTAAGGAAACTTGATTTACTACCTTAAGAAAAACTTGATTTGGCTATCTTGCATTGTGTTGTAGAAATTTCTGAGTGGATGTTTTAAATCTTATGTGGATAATACCTGTAGCATATTAGTAAAGATTATCTCTTTTGATTAATGGAATATTATCAAAAGAGATGAGAATACAGTGCATGGACTTTTGGGGTGATTAAAAGAATTGGGGGCATGATTAGCGAAAGTGCGTAGGCAATGAATTGCGCCATTAAGCAACCCGAAAAGTTAAAGATGGGTTAACTAAATGGAGACCTATAATCAAAAAGTACATATGTTGATATAGATTTGTCTCTATATACTCCGTTTTAGACTACATTAACTGAAAGTGCCCTTTGATCCGTTTTAGGTTAAGGGACTAAAAAAGGGATAAACTCCAAAAACTATAGATCATAGGTCTGAGTTCTAGTTAAGAGGTTCACACGTCTATTCTCATACTCCCTCCGTATTTTAAAGATGAATTTTCTAGAAATTAGTTGTTGTTTCACAAAGATAAATTTTCTACTTTTTTGATACACTTTTTCAGTTTTCAAGAAACAATGATTGTATTTGTTAGATTTTTATTGGTAAAAATTATAGAAAATTGTTTTATTGCAGAAATCAATACACTAATAATTGAAAATCTGTTTTTCCTTAATATGTGTGAAAATCCTAGAAAATTTATCAAAAAAAAAATGGAGGGAATACCAATATACATCCAACCTTTTACAGATTTGGTACCTAATGAACGGCTAAGGCTAATTAAGAACCTAAATTAGATATAGAGATAGAGGGTGTGATCTGCTCTTTTAAGTGTTGAGCAGAAGAATATTTCCCGCTTAATCATATACTCCCGATATTTTGATTGGTAAACATTACAAGCACATCGAATCGTGGATTTATTATTTATCTAAATTACCTATAGACTAGCATGATGGATTAACTATAAGAGAAAAAAAAATATTAACTTAGGTACTTGGCTGCAAAATGACAAAACATTTCGTTTAGTAAATCAAGCTTATAGTATTTTGATTCTTATTTCACGAGCTTATTATCGACTCACTTTCTTTGCTGAGAGTGATAAACTAAACAACTATAGAGATCCCAAAACAAAACAAAAAGAACACATGAATTATTTTGATGATATAACAAACAACTGTTCGTACTATTGAGTGTTAGATGTGGTCTAACTCAATCTATATAATACATATAGGAAGTGATCACTAAGACACTAAGACACTAACTACTAAAACCAATCGTCCTCAATATCTTGATAATCTCTCAACTTAATTAAGAGTTTAGGTATAGATGCTATTGCCACATCTCAAAATCTAGTCCAATTAACCATTTTCTGTTAAATAAATTTTAAAAGACCACAGAACAAAAGAAGGCACGCGGAACACGACTTCGGTTGTCCATAGTCCAATTGTAATAGACAAATACAGTATATGTATAATTAACGTTTCTAATACACAATTAGTTTTATAATTGTGACGAAAATAGCTCTAAACTAAAACAAAGATATAATCTATAGTATTTAGGACCGTAGCCAATTATCATCGACCTCTAAAGCAAAGTGTGCCGCCTTCTTTCTAATGTTACATCACTTTTTAAAAAAATATTGAAATTGAAAGTGGATATTCGTAATGTTCATAGCGACTAGAGATGCAAATAAGATGAATCATTATTAAAAAAATTGACCCACAAATATATGCTTCCAATGATGAAATGATTATGTGGAAGACATAGGAAGGTTTTCACTTTTCACCAACTACTCTTCATTATTCCCCCACATATTATATCATTGGCATCATTATCCAACTTTCTTTGTGTTTTCCTTTCATCTTCTTAGTTACATACGGTTAAGAAAATCATACTTGACTTGTTATTCACGAAGAATCACAACCTAAAGTATCTGAAGCAGTGTTTTTTTTTTTTTTTTTGTTTTAAAGTTTTTTTTAGTGTTTTATAAAGTTAGTCCATGAATGTGTATACTGAAACGGGATGATCGAATTGTCTTCAAAAAAATTAATAAGAGTTGCTACAATAAGGTCCCATACAGATCCCAGTTCATCATACTTTATACATACAGTCTATCATGCAGTTGATAAATTATTTTAGATCACTTTGATAATGTGATGGAAGTGTACATAATATATGTCTCTTTTGTTGGAATAAACTTTGATAACTTGGCGAGTTTATTGGGCTCAGAATTCATTAATATGGGCCCATATGCGGTTTGGGTGTTTTTAACGGCCTAACTGAGCTCAAGTTAATATTTTACCAAATAAAATATTGTTCAGATTTCAATTTGTCTTCTTCTTCATCTTCTCCTCCAATTTCAGATTTGATGCTCTCAAATTTTTAGCCGAAAGAAACGAAAGTGGGAAATTGCGGCAAATCAAAGGTAAGCAAATCCATTAAACCCCAAGAGACCCAATGAAACACTTCATCTTTCTCTAAATCCTACAAAGTAAATAAACCAATTGATCAAATCTATGCAACTGATTGTTGTTGTTCTGTGAAAACCTCACAAGGTTGATCCATGGCTGATGTACAGCTGAAGCAAAAAGGTTACGCCTGGGCAGTTGCTGCCGGGCTCAATGCAGCTCTTGCTGCCATCTCCGCTAAATTCTTCTCATCTCTGGTAATCACATTTTCCAGCTTTTATCTTTTGGAGTCTTAAGCTACTAATCCTCTTAGAGGCCTTGATCAATAGTTTTGTGTCCTTTGAATTTTGATAAATTAGTTAAAAAAGTTTAAATCTTTACAGGTGATGAAGTATGGATTAGTTGTATTATGCAATGTGGTTATGTGGGCATGCTATGTAAACAGCTTAAGAGCTCTCTCATCGTTACAAGCTACGGTCACAAACTTTGCTGCTAATTTTCTCTCTTCCGGTTTAGCTGGTCTCTTTTTTTTTCAGGAATCTTTACCATTTCAAGTAAGTTTTTGATCTTGCAAACGTTTATGTTACGCATTCAAAATTTGTATTTGTTTAAGAAGGTTCACTTGTTATGATTTAAGTGGATATTTGGCTTTATTAGTTGGATGTGTTTGGCTAATTACATTCCAATAAATTTGGCAGTGGTTTGCGGGAGCTTTATCGATAACCATTGGAGTTGTAATCCTGAGTAAGTCAAGTGTTGAAAAGAAAGTTAGCTCCGATTAATCAAGAACCGATGTAATATGTTCTACTTTGGAGATGGTTTCTTTTTGGCTGCAAGCATTTAGAGATGTCTAAGTTGTTCTGAGTTTTTAAGTTTAAGAGGCTGTTCTTATAAAGTAAACCACATTTTTTATGTAACCAATATGCCAAATTTGATTTTAATTATCTTGTTACTGATCTCTCCAATTTATCTTCACATTCAAGACTTGTGTTTTCCATGGCTTTCTCTAGACTATATTCTTTTACAAATATTCATTATGTAACCAATATGCCAATTTTTCTCTTTAAAATTCTATTAGGCTATATAATAGTTTACTATACTTCACACTGAAGCGACTTGATGGAACAAAATATAGTTTTCTCTATCTATTGATAGAAATGAATTTACCTTGAGTTCTTGATTGGAAGCTGCTAAATTTCCACCTGCATGCATTTGCGTAAGAAGTTGAACCATTTCTCAGAGACATATAAAAGATGGCAAGTTGCAAATCTGATTATATATCTATCAACATCGAATGTTCCATGGCCTTTTATGATTATTAGTTTAGAAGTAGATGAGCTATTTTCACATGTCAAAAAGTGTTGACTTTGACAAAGGAACACACACAAAGATATACTTATAAACTCAAAGGATCAGGACCATCAAAGTCACAAATACGTGCAAACCATTTCGTCTCTCTGTCTCCATCCAACATCCTAAAACAGACGAGTCAAATAATATTATTAACTCCTCATATTATTCTTAGATCCTCGCATCTTGCTATACACACAAACACACATGAAGCATGACACTGACCACAATACCACATGTCAAAATCTATACACACACGCACATGAAGCATGACACTGACCACAACAATACCACATGTAAAAATGTTAGGATAGAGACAGAACCGACATACATGAAAGTCACTACTTTCTCTAACGTGCTTCCCATTTCCTTGTACTACTTATATCTCTATCCTCTGCATATATTTTACCGGAAAATTACAAAATCCATATCTGAAAACCTAACTTTTTTTTTTTTTTTGCTTGATAAATCTAGTTATGCCTCCTCCGGCAATGATTGCGTTTGATGATGATTTAACCGAGAAATCTAGCGATAAAGAGTGGAAAGGTTTCACTGTTTTCCCCGAAGAAAATCCTAGCCCTAACCCTAGTTTCAATTTCTTGGTCAAGAAGGCAATTATGCAAAGCGAGAAATCAACCGGTCCTATTTTCTCCCGTTCGTCGGCAAGAGACGACAACTTCAGAATGGTGTTGCCACCGGCAATGCCTCCGCCTAGAGACTCCGCGGTTCCGCTTCCTATGCTCCCGGAGCCGATGAGAGTTCGGAAGAAACTTAGCCACCAAGAATCAGTCCTCTTCACGAGGAAATCTCGTTACTCAGAGAAAATCCTCTACAAGGAAGAAGATTTCAAATGTAACGCATTCTGCTTGTCTTTACCTGGATTCGGGAAACAAAAGCCAGTTAACGTTAGATCTTCTTTGAAACGTCAAGACTCGATGGAGAAGAAGATGATCAGAGCGTCTTCCTTCACGCATTCAACCGTTTCCATACGCGCATCGCTCGAGAAATTCGAATGCGGTTCTTGGGCCTCGACGACGGCCCTGACGCAGGAAAACGTCCGGTCTTATTACGATTTCCCGGTGGAGATGATGAAATGCAACAGTAGAGGAGGAGGAAATGGAGGAACAGATGTGCAAGAACCGGTGACTTCTGGATTCTTGTTCGATAGAGAAACAGAGACTTTGGCTCTGAGAAGCGTTTTAAAGACGAGAAGTTCACGGTCGTCGGGAAGAGATCACCAGAGATCCGCTGAGACTTCACCACTACGCCGCGTAAGATTTTCTACTACTTCGTCGGCTTCGGTTTCTTGCCCTACTTCGCCGCGTTCTTGCATCACCCCACGGTTACGTAAGGCTAGAGATGAATTCAATACTTTCTTGTCCGCACAAAACGCATGAAAATGGAAAATAAAAAACAGAACACCAAAACTTTTTTAAAAAATATGTATGTATGTGATGTATCTACGGACGTTGTGTAAATATCTATGAAGAGAGACTGAGAGAGGGAGAGAGAGAGAGACTGTTAAATCGTTGTGAAATAAAAATCGAAGATGAGTTTTATGATTATGATTGTAAGAGCAATGAAAATCAAAATATTCCATGTTTGAATTGAAGCTCTATTTATTAGGGATAAATATTCCACATTGGAAATTAGAAGGGATCTTAAATAGTATATAAGGGATGTGGGCCTCTCGACTCATTGCCAATTGGTTTTGAGTTGGAAGCTCATGTAACTTAACATGATATCAGAGCTCCGATCCATACATTCCAACCCGATCCGACCCATAGTTGGTCCAATCATCGACCATGCCCAAAATTGGTGCTGGCGATCCAAGCCCGAACATAGAAGAGACAATATCCTACATCGAAAGTTGGAAGAGATTTCAAGTAGTATATAAGGGATGTGGGCCTCTCCACTCAACACTATTTAGACTTTAACCTCACATTCTTAAGAGTTTATTTAGGTCATTTGAGATACCAACATCGATCATTAGTTCATTACTATTGACTGAAAATGTTTAGTTACATTTTCATGTTTCTGACTTGCAATCTCAAACATTTAGAGCTTATTTGAGTTTTCTGATCATTTCATTTTTTTTTTTTCTCATTACAATGTAACATAACCTAATATTAAGAGAGCATTACGATATACAGACCCAAAACGCTAATTAACGCAAACGCGAGAACTAAAACAGTAGCGTCGGTTTTGTATCAGTTTCTTGTATCGAAGAAGACGCGGACAACGTTCACGATGTGAGCTCGGCAAATCGGGCACTTCCCTCCACTCCAGTGTAGCTCATTGGCACATTTCAGGCACGTGCACATATGTCCACACTTGTACAAAACCGCCTCGACCTGCGTTTCATCGCAGACGCAGCATTTTCGTTTCAAAGGGTTTTCTCGAACAGCGTGTTGCAAGGTCGCGTTAGCATCCAAACACGTTTTGACAGAATCTCGTAGCAATGACATTTCTTGCTGAAGCTGCTGGATCTGTGATCTCATACCGCTTATCAGCTCCATTTCCTGAAAACGTCTCTGTGAGTTTACATATACAACTACTGCGGTTGCGAGCTTCAATGAAATAACAAGAAAATCGAAAAAAAGACTCACAGGTGAATGAGGACTGTGAACAGACAAGACAGGAGTGGAAGAAGTAACGCCAGTGTCTTGAGAGCTCCATGATCCTGCAGGAGACGATGCAAACATATGTGAAGAAGACGATCGGCTCGAGTCATCTCTATCGTCTTGCTCTTCTTCTACTTCTTCGATATCAATCTTCTCTTCTTCCTGTTGCAATCCCCATTTCTCAGACTGCTTATTCGGATGTGTATGCACACGGGACATCATGAGACTATCAATCTTCTCTCGCAACCCACTCTCCAGAAAATCTGTCACCGTCCTTCTGTGTTATGCATAAAACACATAGTCTTAATAGTCAATGGTTAACAATTAGAAAACTTGAGCTTGTTGATTCTGAATGTTTGATGTTACTTACCGCTCAAGGAGTCTGCGTATGTCTTCCTTCTCAGACCTAGTGTTCATTACTTCCAAGTACCGTGACTTCCTCAGTTCCTCCCAGTGACTTCGCGGCCGAGATATTTCGGTAAGCCAGTCATTGTTCGTTTCTCCGTAATAATACTGCTCATCTTCATACTCTTCTTGTTCTTCCCATCCATCATTCAAGTAAGATGTTTCTTGTTCCCCAAGGCACTGATCCATCTCATTACTCTCATGTTGTAACACACCTTGTGTCTGCGTTTCTGGAGTTTCTTGCATACAATCTCCAATTTCGATCTCACTTTGCTTCTCTCGCAACCGCTTCTCTTCTCCTTTCTTCTCAGCCTCGCGGTCATTGCAGGTTTCCTCTGCTTTTCTTGTTTCTTGCATCTCAAGGCAATTCATTTTTGCTTCAACTGTTACATTTACGGTTTCTTCTTCCTTAATTAACGTTGCTTCCTCTATCTTGCGGTTTCGGAGGCTCAATCTCTCTGCGAAAAAAGCTTCTAGAGTAATACCACTGTTCTTTGAGACCTTCTTGCTCTCGGTAGGTCTCTTTGTTTCTTCAATGGCTTTGTTATTCTTCTCAGCGGATCGGTGATGGTCCTTCTTCTGATCTGCTGCAGCCACCGCGTTTACTACGTTTGCACGAAATTTCTCTCTGCATTGAATTCAGAAAATGTAAATGCTGAGATCTAAACTCAAGAACTTTAAAAAAAAAACTAGAACAGGGAGATTCTGAAAATAAAACAAAACCTTAAATGTAGGACAGTAGAGCCTGATTCGATCCGGTTTAATCCAGTTGTTTTTGCGTTAGACCGGTTTCGATCTTGAATCGCTAGGCAGCGTTTGAGGTTCCTTAGCCTTAGCATTGACTGGTTAAATAAATAATCACATTATAATCGGGCGATACTGTAACGAAAGAAATTACTGTGCCGACTGTAAAAAGGTCACTAAAATAAAGGGTAGTTCATTAAATATATAAATACCTGGAGACGTCCACGTTGAGTAAACCTAGAAACTGCGTTGCGTTCAAGGATCGCATCCAATTCCTTGTAGCGATCGCGTTCCATTTGAATAAGCAGATCGGTAAACGCTTGCCGTCCTCGGATCCTCGGTGAGAAATGAACCACCGGAAAATTGGTTTTCTCCGACGACGTAATGCAAGGCCTCGGTGTTCTGATAAACGCGAGTCCATTTCCGCCGCCGCCATTGTCTCCGGCGGTTAGTTTCTCTTCGTTGCTTAGCCTCCGAATTAAATCAGCGACTCGCCGGGAATTGCTCTCTCTGGAATCAGAAACCGAACCTTGCGAGCTAGATTCAATCTCCACCGTTCGATCAGGACTCTTAGCTTCCGCGACTTCTAATTCATCAGCTGATTCGGAATCGCTTCGACTACTGCTCACCGTCGATTGGATATGACTCGGCGAGTTTCCACCGTTGGATCGGTTTAGCCTCGCTTCCCATATCTGCACGAGAGAAGAAGCTCCGTTTATCTTAGACTCCTCTGATTTCTCCTTCCTCGAGACAAGAACACTCGAATTTCTGACGATTGGTTTCTCCGTTAATCTAATACGATTGTTGCTGTTGCTCTTTTTATTTTGAGACTCGATCCAAGAATCGACTGAATTCTCGTCGTTGACCGGAGATTTGAAGAGCTGGTTATGGTCTTTCACCAGAGCTTTGAGATTCTTCTGGGAGAAAACGGCGTTTTGATTACGATCTCTAAGGATCAAGCCGAATCTCTGTGACGGAGAAGGAATCTCCACTTGAGAAGACGCCATTTCTTACGAACACAAAAAAACTCAAACACTCATTTTGAGTTTTTTTTTTTTTTTTTTTTTTTGTAATCGATCGAAGGACTTAGAGAAGAAAGTATGTTTCTTTTCTCTTACAAGAAGGAAGAAAAGAAGAAGAGAAAGTTGTTGTGAGTTTAGTGAAGATTACTGAATTTTCACTAAAAACAGAGAAAAAGAGAAACAGAACAAACAAGCGGTGGAGGAGATACGAGGAAATGAAACGGTGAAGAAGAAACAAAACCAATGAAACAGTAATGTGCTTATCTGTTTAGTTTTCGTTTTCTTTTCTGTTGCCGTCACCGCTAAAATATTGTGAGTCCTAGAATCGCTCTGTTTTGTCCCTTAAACTTTGGAACGTGTCTGTAAAATAAGGGAATAAAGGAAATGAGGTGTACAAGTTCAGAGGATGAGATGTTTGAGATTCTCCAGAAAAAAAATGCTTCCGTGGCCAAAAGCTATAAAAAGGTCTACTGTGTACACACGTGTCAATCTGTTGGTGAGGGAATTTAATTACTAGTAATTAAATTATTAATGAAGGTGTTAATTAAGGCTCCTAAATTCGAGAGTCAAAGTGAGCCGTTGAGGAATTTAGCCGTTAGAGAGTGGGAACCATGCACTTTATGAACTTTTTATGCCAATTTGCCTCATCATTATTAATCGAATTGCCCTTTTTTGGGTAAGTAACAAGTTTTAAATAATAACTGAAGAAGGGAAAAGGGAAAAAACTTAAAAGTAATGAGGTAATTTAATTAAATAAAACATTCTGATAAAGACTATGTTTTCACTTTCAGTGATTTGTGGAGCTTGTACCGTTATTCGATTGTCCTTCAAGGCAATGTGAGAAAAGAAGATGCTGCAGTCTATTATTTCGAATCGGAGTGTTCCGTGTGCAATTTCTTTGCCTTTTTTTTGTCGTTGTTGAAGGCATTTCTTTGCTTAGAAGTACAAAAACGTTGCAACAGTTTTTCACAAGAATGAGCATGTGGCTTATGCATCTTTGGATGTTTCAGCAAGACTCTGACAAAGAGAGAAGAGAATGTCGTCCCTCTTATTATGTCTTACAAGAGTATATATACATGTTACATAAACCTAGGCAACTCCACAAAAGGAATATTAACATATACTAAGATAGATTTTATGATATTTACATTCAACTCCCTAATACTCCCCCTCAAGTTGGAGCATGTAAGTCTCGAATGCCCAACTTGCGTCTAAGATATGAGAACTGGGGAAAGCCCAAGGCCTTGGTAAAGATATCGGCCAGTTGCTCATTGGTACGAACATGAGAAGTAGCAAGTGAGCCTTTGATAATCTCATCACGAATAAAGTGACAATCTCTCTCGATATGCTTTGTTCGTTCATGGAACACCGGATTAGCAGCAATGTGTAACGCTGCTTTGTTATCACAAAAGAGATGCATAGCCTGTGGATGAGAGATACCAAAGCATGCCAACAACTCACGGTTCCACTTGATTTCCCGAGTAGTGAAACCCATCGCGCGATACTCCGCCTCCGCCGATGAAAACGAGACCGTGTCTTGTTTCTTTGTCTTCCAAGCAATAGGAGAATCGCCTAACAACACCATAAAACCAGTGAGAGAACGACGCGTCATAGGACATGCGTTGTAATCAGAATCACAATATGCCTTGATCTGCAAGTCATTATTCGAACTCAACATAATGCCTTGTCCCGGAGAGCCTTTAAGATAACGAACCACTCGTACAGCTGCTTCCCAATGTTTAATACGAGGATTTTTCATAAATTGTGCCAACATATGCACCGCATAAGACAACTCTGGACGTGTATGAGTAAGATAAACCAGTCGACCAACCAATCTTCGATAGCGAAGTGGGTCATTGTAGTAGTCACCCTCATCTTTAGCTAAATTATGGTTTTGTACCATTGGAGTTGTGACTGGCTGACAACCCAACAAACCACACTCTTTGACAATGTCCATAGCATACTTCCTTTGGGACAAATAAATCCCCTCCGGTGAGCGTGAGACTTCAATACCAAGAAAGTATTTCACCAATCCCAAATCTTTCATCTTAAAGCATTGACTCAAGTAGCCTTTGAACTTGATAATAGCCTCTGGATCATTCCCTCCAATCAACAAGTCATCCACATAAATGAGAACATAAAGTCTCATAGTTCCACGAGTAAGGGTAAACAAAGAATAATCGGAAACGTTTTGAATGAATCCATACCCTTTGAGAGCTGTAGTTAGTTTAGAAAACCAACACCGTGGAGCTTGACGAAGCCCATATAAAGACTTCTTTAGTTTACACACTTTCGATTTGTCAGAACATTCAAAGCCGGGAGGTAGTTTCATGTAAACCTCCTCAAGAAGATCACCATGCAAAAATGCATTATGCACATCCATTTGATGAACCTCCCATCCTTTCACCGCTGAGACTTTAAGAAACATTCTTACTGTAGTCATCTTGACAACAGGAGCAAAAGTTTCATCATAATCGACTCCTTCTTCTTGACGATTTCCCGATGCTACTAATCTTGCCTTGTAACGTTCAACGATTCCGGTTGAGAGATACTTAATTGTGAATATCCAGTGGCAGCCAATAGCCTTTTTACCAGGCGGCAAATCAGTGATATCCCATGTTCCACTATCCTCCAGAGCTGTGACTTCACCTGAGACAGCTTTTCTCCAACGCTTATCTTTCATAGCTTCCCGAAACGAGGAAGGTTCACTTTCAGCAGTAATCGCCGCGAGGAAAGCTCTGTGTGACGGTGAGAAACGATCACAATTTACATAGTTTGAGATAGGATACTGAACCATACCTGAGTTCGATGACGCTGGTGGAGACAAGTGAGAAGAGAGAGAGTCGGGGTCGTTTCGGCATTGTGTAGTGTAAAGAACAAAACCATCAAGACGAGATGATTGTGTGCGTTCTCTGTTACTTCTCCTTAATGGAGCTGTTTCGATAACCTGGTCTTCAACCACAGCTTCTTCTTCCACCACAGCTTCTTCTTCATTAACGTTTTCACTCCCCCTTTCGTTGGACGTCGTTACATTCAACTCCTCTCTTAATTCCAGAAAATCATTATCATCAACAACCTCTCGTTGTTGTATCATCGGTATAGAAACAACACTTTGTTTTGGACCAGATACAAATGGAAATTCTTTCTCCTCAAAAACAACATCTCGTGAAACAAAGAATTCTTCTTTCTCTATATCCCACACTCGCCAACCTTTTTGACCAAATGGATATCCCATAAAAACACAACGACGACTTCTTTCACCAAATTTATCTGTATCTCTTTGTACCTTTCTAGCATAGCACAAGCTACCAAATACCTTGAGAGTAGAATAGTTTGGAGCTACTCCATGTAATATCTCAAAAGGACTCTTGCCATCAAGCAGTGGAGATGGAGTACGGTTTATGAGATGACACGCTGTCAAAACACATTCTCCCCAAAATCGTATCGGAAAACTTGCTTGGAACATCAATGATCGAGCAACATTCAAAATATGCCTATGCTTCCTTTCAACTCGGCCATTTTGTTGTGGCGTGTATACACAACTAGTTTGATGCAAAATTCCTTCCATAGTAAAATAAGACTTCATACTCATAAACTCTCCACCATTGTCACTTCTCACTACACGCACCTTTTTGTTGAATTGTCTTTCCACCATTTTAAAGAAATTCTTTAAGGTTTCTGCGACCTCTTTCTTCTCTTGTAACAAATAAACCCAAACTGCTCTAGAGTGATCATCCACAATGGTAAGAAAATAAGCTGCACCCGATGATGAGAGAGTTCGATAAGCACCCCACACATCACAATGAATCAAATCAAAAACACCAATAGCTTTATTCGAACTTTCATGAAAAGAATCTCGGGTTTGTTTAGCCCTTAAACAAATCTCACAAGTAGATTTAGATTCAACAGATTTTCCAACATCCAAACTACTAGGTAAATAAGATAACACACGGCTTGAAGGATGGCCAAGACGACGATGCCATAAGTCACACGAACCAGGACTCAAAGCCTTATTCACCCTTGCACCCATCACGCCTCTGAAAACGTAGACTCCCCCTCTCTCTTCACCCGCTCCAATCAGCATCTTCGAGGTACGGTCCTGTAAAACACACAACTCATCAGTAAATGTTATTGATCCCTTGATAACTTTAAGCACTTTCGCAACAGAGATCAATGAGCATGTAAGATCTTTTGAGTATAAAACTCCTCTAAGCCACAAATCTCCTCCTAAACATAAGTCTCCTTGTTTTGTAGCAACTGCTGTATCACCATCAGGCAAACCAATAGGACAAGCAGGAATATTTGTAACATTACTCAAAAGATCAATATCCCATGTCATGTGGTGTGATGCACCTGTATCAATGATAAATTCTCCACTTTCTGCCTTACCATTAAGCTTTTCATTGGTTTCCTGTTTCTTAGAGGAAAGAAAACTCAAGAGTGAGGTCCATTGCTCATCACTCAGCTGAGGAAGAGATGCTCTGTCGTAGTCCTTTTCTTGTCTCACAAGGTTTGCTTGTACACCTTCTTGGTTTTGCACTTGTGCTGCATACCCACGTCCAACAACACTTGTGCTTGTTCCTCTACCACGACCTGATCGTCCAGCAACACCACCACCTCTTCCAAATCTCCCTCGAGTGCCTCCGCCTCTACCTCTTTCAGTAAAATCACGTCCTCGTTCTCCCCACCATTCTGGATAACCTTTGAGCTGAAAGCAGTCTGCTTGTGCATGACCATACTTGCCGCAATGAGTACAAGTCACGTCCTTCTCACGTTGTTGATATTGAGAAGAATTACCCTTGTATGCATTCGCTGAGAAACCCACAACTTCAGCTGGTACATCTTTGCTCCTTGTCATAGATTGTTGTCTCTCCTCACGCACAATGCGTTGATACACTTGAGAGAGTTTAGGTAATGGCTCTATGCTTTGAATTGTAGAGCGAACAACAGCAAACCTCTCTGCATTCAAACCAGTCAAGAACGTGTTTGTCCTTTCTTCCTCACGATCTTCTTCTAATTGGGCTTTAAGTTCTCCACATGAGCATGTTCTGATTGGTTTGTAGATCGCAAGCTCATCCCACATCTTTTTCAGTTTCCCGAAATACACCGTAACAGAATCACCGTTCTGTCTACAATTCGCAATTTCAGCTCGGAGTTCACTTATGCGTGGTCCGTTCCCTGCTGAGAACTGCATCTTCAAGTCTTCCCACAGTTCACATGCTTCTTCTGTCATCGTGATCGACTCCCTTAAAGTTGGCTCGATTGTATTCATAATCCACGCCACCAACATGGAGTTAACTACATCCCATTGTTCAATCTCTTCGACCGTCGTCGGCTTCGTTAAAGTACCATCAACAAACCCTAGCTTCCGCTTGGTACGCAAGGCATTCCGCACATGCTTAGCCCAATCTTCATAGTTTGCTCCTTTGAGCTGCACCGTTGTAATCAAATTCCCTGGTCCATCCGATGGATGGAGATAGAGTGGAGACAAGGTCGACACCATCGCCTTATCGACCACCATCATCTCTTTGGCACCGCCTTCCGCATGCACCATGTTACCGTTGCCGCCTTCCGCAGCTTTCCCGTCTTTACCACTGCCTCCTGCAGGTTCGTTCTTCCCCATAATCTCTTACTTGACTAGGTTATTTGAATTCTATATTATGTCTTAGGATCTTTGCTCTGATACCATGACAAAGAGAGAAGAGAATGTCGTCCCTCTTATTATGTCTTACAAGAGTATATATACATGTTACATAAACCTAGGTAACTCCACAAAAGGAATATTAACATATACTAAGATAGATTTTATGATATTTACATTCAACTCTCTAATAGACTCCACTCAACAAGATATATTGTGTAACAAAACACTCTACACTAATGTTTAAAAAAAACCTTTATAAGGTGTTTTTGGGTTCATCAACATTAAAGGTTTTTTTTTTTTTTTTTTTGGTTTTCCATCAACATTAAAGTTGGCCTACAAAAAAATATATAATATAACCGTCGAATTCAACAGTGGTCAAAGGATACTATCATTTCGAGTAACAATATATAGAAATGGTTTTCACAATTGAGGAAAACTAATCAAAGAAGTCGTTGCCCTTTGATGAACCTCTCACCAAGATTGACCCATGATAGTCAAGGGTTATTAAGCACATGCATGATTGTCGCGAGGAACTTGTTTATTTCGAAATTACTAATCCCTCCATAACATCTAATGTGAATTTTGAAATTACCAGGTTACTCCATAACATGGAAATGCCGTGTCATAATTCGGCTATGATAGAGACTAACATAAATATGAATAATAATAGCACCATAACCGACCAAAGAACAAATTAAAATAATCCCATCCAAGTTGACCAAATTAAAAAATAATAATATAATCCTAACAAGTCAAAACCTTGATTTCAATAATGCAAATATCAACTTCTTGTTCTTTCTTATAAAAATGAACCACATATTTAATATCATAAACATCACATACACGACATGCAAGCAACTCATTTGAATTTTCAAAATCCTAAAGTTGTGCCTCCCACGTAGAACCATCACATTAGCTAATTTCCAGACCCCAATATATAGATGTTCTCATACACATCTCTCGACCACATCAAACAAATTCAAATCCCATCAAATTGATAAATGAAGTCGGCCGTGGTCTCAACCGTCGTTCTACTAGTGATTCTCGTGGCCTGGCCGGTATCTGCTGGCTATAAAGACTCACCGGGAGCAGAAGGATACAAAGGCGAGGAAGACGAGGGTGACACAAGGTCATGGTTTCCTTTGGACAATCTGTTATCATTGAGTTATTATGACAAAATTTGTCCGAGTTTTGAGAAAATCGTTGCTACCAAAGTGAGGGAATGGACAAAGACTGACCCTTCCCTTGGTCCCGCCCTCCTCCGCCTTCTCTTCCACGATTGCGGTGTCACGGTATTGCTATTACACCTTCTTTCTCAAATATATATTTAACTTTTTAAGCATTTCATTGCGTAGTATTCATTTCATGCTGATGCTATAGCTCATGTTTGGAATGGTTTCTTCTCAATATTTTTTCTATACGTTCGTGTTTGTGTTTTCATGTTGTGTTATGATAATTAGAATTATATTTAACTTTACATGATATGCTTAATACCACATATTGTTTTGTGCACATCTTTTTGTGACATTTAAAAAGATATAAATAACTCATTTGTTGAATGAATAACAACTTCAGGGATGTGATGCGTCCGTTCTTCTAGACCACGAAGGATCAGAGAGAAGATCTCCGGCGAGCAAAACCCTAAGAGGCTTTGAGCTGATCGAAGACATCAAGTCCGAGCTCGAGAAATCTTGCCCCGGCTTAGTCTCCTGCGCAGATATCCTAACCGCAGCTAGCCGTGACGCCACCTACCAACTCGGTGGTCCTTACTGGTCCAACGCATACGGTCGTCGTGACTCCACCAACTCTTACGCTGGAGACGTCGAGAAAGTCCCTTCAGGCCGCCGTGACATCACCGGACTTCTCGAGACGTTTCAGTCATACGGACTGAACATCCTCGACCTAGTCGTCCTCTCCGGGGCTCACACCATCGGAAAAGCCAACTGTGGAACCATCCAGTCGAGGCTTTACAACTTCAACGCCACCGGTGGATCTGATCCGTCGATTGATCCCAAATTCGCAGATTACTTGCGTCGCAAGTGTCGTTGGGCCTCAGAGACAGTTTACCTCGACGTCGTGACTCCGATTGCATTCGATAACCAGTATTACATCAATCTCAGGAAGAATATGGGAGTCTTGACGACTGATTCGGAGCTTGTCAAGGACCCGAGGACCGCTCCTCTTGTAGCTGCTTTCGCTGAGGGACCGCCTCAGATATTCAGACAGCAGTTTGCTGTGTCGATGGCTAAGCTGGTCAATGTTGGTGTCCTCACTGGTGAAGATCGTGTCGGAGAGATCAGGAAGGTTTGCAGCAAATCTAACTCCAGAGCTTACTGATTGATGATAAAATCGGTTATGAGTTCTTACAAAGAATATTTTGTTTCTTGGAAGTAATTAATTTCTTGTTTGGTTTCTATTGTAATTTTGTTATTTGTTGCCTGAACGACACAAAAACTGTGAATCTTGTTTTATACTGAGGATTATTTCTATAATTTCAAGCAAATTAAGGAATATGTCAGATTATAATGTTTTATAGAGCCTTAGATCAAGTACATAGAAGTGATGGATAGCTTTTGGAGCAAGAAAGTGAAATATGGGAGGCATAATTAGGTTCGAAATCACGTTTATAGGTTTTCTATAATACTGAAGCTCGCACAAAAAACAGTACATAAGTAAGAGATTTTCTAAGACATTCAAGAACCTGGGAACATAATTATGAGAGTTTGAAAACAGAACCAGTGCAAAACCAGCCGAGAATATTTAGACTCGCTTGCCTCGAAGGACACCCTTGCTGCGACGATTCTTCATCCCAAGCTTAAACTTCTTCTTCAACTTCCTCCCAATGGGTTTAAGTGACTTGCTATGCTTGTCTTCATCCATTTCTACATCCGCAAAACAGAACATAGACATATTACCAACACTTCAAAAGATACATACATAATTGGTAGGATCAACTCAGATTACATTGTTACCAAAAGACTCGAGCAAACAAAGATTTAACAAAATTTCAATACCATGAGACCAGGAACAAGCTTTTAGAATGATGCAAAATTCCTCAATAGAAACTATGTGTTCTTAGCACTTAAGATCCCAAACATCTTCTTAGGCACTTACACTATTACATTCGATAATCAAATAGCTATGCAGTAAGTGAATGAGCAAAAGACCCTTCTAAAGAGTAATGACNTCCTCAGAGACAGTTTACCTCGACGTCGTGACTCCGATTGCATTCGATAACCAGTATTACATCAATCTCAGGAAGAATATGGGAGTCTTGACGACTGATTCGGAGCTTGTCAAGGACCCGAGGACCGCTCCTCTTGTAGCTGCTTTCGCTGAGGGACCGCCTCAGATATTCAGACAGCAGTTTGCTGTGTCGATGGCTAAGCTGGTCAATGTTGGTGTCCTCACTGGTGAAGATCGTGTCGGAGAGATCAGGAAGGTTTGCAGCAAATCTAACTCCAGAGCTTACTGATTGATGATAAAATCGGTTATGAGTTCTTACAAAGAATATTTTGTTTCTTGGAAGTAATTAATTTCTTGTTTGGTTTCTATTGTAATTTTGTTATTTGTTGCCTGAACGACACAAAAACTGTGAATCTTGTTTTATACTGAGGATTATTTCTATAATTTCAAGCAAATTAAGGAATATGTCAGATTATAATGTTTTATAGAGCCTTAGATCAAGTACATAGAAGTGATGGATAGCTTTTGGAGCAAGAAAGTGAAATATGGGAGGCATAATTAGGTTCGAAATCACGTTTATAGGTTTTCTATAATACTGAAGCTCGCACAAAAAACAGTACATAAGTAAGAGATTTTCTAAGACATTCAAGAACCTGGGAACATAATTATGAGAGTTTGAAAACAGAACCAGTGCAAAACCAGCCGAGAATATTTAGACTCGCTTGCCTCGAAGGACACCCTTGCTGCGACGATTCTTCATCCCAAGCTTAAACTTCTTCTTCAACTTCCTCCCAATGGGTTTAAGTGACTTGCTATGCTTGTCTTCATCCATTTCTACATCCGCAAAACAGAACATAGACATATTACCAACACTTCAAAAGATACATACATAATTGGTAGGATCAACTCAGATTACATTGTTACCAAAAGACTCGAGCAAACAAAGATTTAACAAAATTTCAATACCATGAGACCAGGAACAAGCTTTTAGAATGATGCAAAATTCCTCAATAGAAACTATGTGTTCTTAGCACTTAAGATCCCAAACATCTTCTTAGGCACTTACACTATTACATTCGATAATCAAATAGCTATGCAGTAAGTGAATGAGCAAAAGACCCTTCTAAAGAGTAATGACAAATTGATTCTGATGAATTTCAAATGCTAAAGTTTTGCAGAAAATTCGCTTCTTCAAGTGTTACCTTATCTAAGAGCATATCGAACACAAATCAGCACAAACCAACACACTCGATTAGCAGAAACTGACACCACTACAGTAGAAATTGAACTTACCCATATCTTTGGCGATAGTACCGGAGGCAGAAGCAGACTCCGAGTTCGGCGTCGCAACTTCCATGAACGGAGAAGGTGGTGGCTGACGGACTTCTAATTTCGGAGCGGCGAGTGCGGCTTCGATTGCGGCGGACTTGGCGTCGTCTCTCGTTAGGGTGAATGCTTCCTTCTCCACTATTTCCCTTCTGATAGCTCTTAATCTCTTCACCCTCTTGCATCTCATGGATTTCGCCATCGCTGCGCTCGTAATCGAAGCTTCTGGGGAAGATTTGCGACTTGGAAAAAGGGCTTTTGATTTATCGGCGTCGGATTGTTTATATCGTCTAAACCTAATTGAGGAACGGAAAATTGTAAGGGTTCTGTTTGGTTACAAGAATAGCTGCACCTTATCCGAGGTTTAGGCCCAATGACAAAAAATTTAACCCCTAAGTTGAAATGGCCCAATATTGATATTTAGAGGCCCAAATGAAGATGAACTGTACTTAACGCGAAAACCCGGAAATACCCTTCTTCTTCTTCTTCTTCTTCTTCTTCTTCTTCGTCCCGGCGCAGATCATACGGTGGTAGATTTCTCAGGAGAATCATTTGTTTCCATTAGAAGAAAGCTCTAACGTTCTCTTCGAAGCTCCAATCTCTGCCTTCTTATCAGCTCCTCCGGGTTAGTTTATTTTTGATTTTGTGTGTGAATCGGTAGTGGTGATTTTAATTTTTCAACATCATTTTGATTTCGTATCTGCCGTTTCTCGATTTGTGATCGGATTTACGCTCTTTTGATTCCTTCTGTTATGATTTCGATGTTTTTCTATGGATTTTACCTCGGATTGATCGTGTTATTGAACTTGAAAGCGCTTGAAATCGCATGGAGAGATCATTTGGAGTTTCTTCTGTTAGATTATAGATCTGTAGTGGAATGTGCTTGCTTGTGTGCATTCTCGCGATTGAAATCTAAAAGCAGTGGAAGTCAATGCAAACTGAGATTATGACCTATTAGGGGATCTGGTGATGAATCCTATATCTGATTATACATAGCATTCTCAGAATCTCAGAATCTCAGGCACTCATTAGAAGAAATCTTTGTAGAATCTAAAAAGCAAATGTCTTTCTAAGAAGAAAAATGTTATGGTGGTCTTGCTGTTGGAGAAGTATGTGTTAATGGTGATGGTTTTGTGTATGATGATGGCAGGGATGTACAATAACATGGGACCTCAACCGGGGATGCCAAGACCTCCGGGAAACCCTGAGCCTGGTCCGTTTGGGAATCCGTTCACCGGAGCTGGCTCGGGTTTGATCCGCAGTGGTTTGGGTGCATACGGAGAAAGGATTTTAGGGTCCAGCTCTGAGTATGTGCAGAGCAATGTAAGTGAAGTTTCTCGGTGAATCCATCTCGCATGAACATCTCATTTTGTTCTTCTTTGTAACTCTTTTGTGGAATATGTAAACAGATAACTCGTTACTTCTCTGATCCTCAATACTATTTCCAAGTGAATGATCAATACGTGAGGAACAAATTGAAGGTTATTCTGTTTCCTTTCCTTCACCGGGTAAGCACTAGTCTTCTCTTTCCTTCTTCCGTTATCATATCAACCGTAGACTAAGACTAGTGTGTGTTCTTCTTCAAACCCTCAGGGACATTGGACTAGAATATCTGAACCAGTAGGAGGTAGGCTCTCATACAAGCCTCCAATCTATGACATCAATGCGCCGGACTTGTACATTCCGTTTATGGCATTTGGCACCTACGTTGTTCTTGCTGGCCTTTCACTGGGGCTTAACGGAAAGTAAGTTTTTGTGAGACCCTATGCTTCTCTCAAAAATGATTGATGTGGAAAGTTGTGAAGATTGTTAATTCGAATTTGGTCTAATAGGTTTACACCGGAAGCTTTGAACTGGCTGTTTGTGAAAGGAATGGTGGGTTGGTCTTTGCAAGTGATGCTCCTGAAAGTGACGCTTCTGTCACTTGGTAGCGGAGAGGCGCCGTTGCTTGACATTGTGGCGTATGGAGGCTATGCTTTTGCCGGTCTGTGTCTCGCGTGTTTGGCCAAGATCATGTGGGGGTACTCGTACTACGCTCTGATGCCGTGGACGTGTTTGTGCACTGGGATTTTCTTGGTGAAGACGATGAAGCGTGTTCTGTTTGCTGAAGTGAGGAGTTATGAGTCGAGCAGGCATCATTACCTTCTGCTGTTTTTGGCCTTGGTCCAGTTCCCTCTCTTGATTTGGCTTGGTAACATTAGTGTTAATTGGCTTTTTTGAATATCTGTGTGTTTTGTTTTTGCAATATATACGTTTCTCTGTGAATTCTAATTGGTTCTTGTAGCAAAATTTGAACATTCTTGGCAATGTATGATTGTGGTGAAGAAAGTGTTATTTTGAACATCATTGTATAAGTCTCTTTCTACTTTCCTTTTCTTCCTCTGTTGGTATAGACAGTAGAAACTAGAATTCGATTTAAAAATACTAATTTCCCATTTTCTATGAAGAAAAACGGGCATGAGACTCAATCCAATGGGACATTTTATAACATGGATTTTCATTTAATTATTATACATACACATTTGATAATGAACATCGTGTTCAATGAATATACAGTAATCACTTTCTCTCCTCCCACAAGTAGAACGTATTAAGTTATTAACTAGTTTACATGATTACATCCAATCATTTCTATAGAGGTTTTTAATAAGGCATGTTTGTACCTATTCCCTCGAATTTTATTAAAATAAACACCATGATGACGACCTATTAAAAAGCACATCATATTCATGGTCTGCCTTATATTATGTGGGAATAATGGTAAAAAGCTAACAATTAGGTTGGATATACTAACAATTAAATAATCTATGTTGGTAATGCAATTATTCATGTCTCCTAGTAATTGTCACATCGGTGTTTGGATGATTCTTTAACTTAACCCATTTGGTACTTCAATACATAGACTTTGCATTTTTTCTCCAAAGTCAATGAAGTAAGCAATGGTCTTTATTTTGTGATCATTAACTTTTTAAACTTTTACTTAAGCAATGGTCTTGATTTTTGTGATCATTTTATTGTGTTTAAAATGATTTTGTAAGTAGACTAATACATTTTGAACTTGGAGTATTCGGATAAAAGTTGAAACTTGTGGACTTAACTTCACGTTTTCTACTTGATTAAGCTTGAAGTTTGGAAAAATGATAGGATCTCACGATTGCCTTACATTCTAAGGCAACGTTAATTTTTTTCTTCTAAAATTATTTAGAAAAAAATATATAAAAAAGGAAGAAGAAAAGAATGAAACAAGTTTGTTGAATCAGTAGTTGCAGAGACATGGTTAGTTCCGCTGACTCTGTCAAGTCATCTTCTCTCCCGTTTACTTTACGTTCGGATCTCTTTTTCTCGAGAAATAATCCATCGAGAAAAAGAAATATCGAAAACAGAGACACCCATTTTCCCGCAAACTCAATCCTTTTTCCTCATCTAAGCGAAATTTCTCTTCAATTTCCTATGAAGAACAATAGAAGATGAAGACAGTTCGAATGATCTAGCTCTGTTTAAGATCTCATTTTCTCGGGAAAATTTTACAGAAAACCCGAAAAACAGAGACCCCAATTCCGAAAAAATCATTACTTTCCGAGTTGCCTTCACTTTGCCAAGGAAACAAACGTAAAACCCACTCAAAGCTCAAATTTTTTCAAACTCTGTTTTCTAATCGGAAACAATGTCTTTGATCAATAAAGGAGCCGCCTTGGCTCTGTTTCTAGCGTTGACCATGGTGGTCAACGGCGTTTTCGGTGGATTCATCGTGGAGAAGAGCAGCGTCACGATTCTAAACCCTTTGTCAATGCGGTCGAAGCACGACGCAGCCATCGCTAACTTCGGCGTTCCAAACTACGGTGGTTACATGATCGGCTCCGTCGTCTACGCCGGCCAAGGAGCTTTCGGTTGCGACTCTTTCGACAAAACATTTAAACCCAAATTCCCTCGTCCTACCATCTTGATCATCGATCGTGGAGGTAACTGTAGACTTCTTATATCGTTTTTGATCAAAATTGCTCTGCAAATTACAGAATGAGATTTGTCTAAATAGAAAGTTTTGTCAGTTACACAAGAGAGACTTGTCTCAATCTCAATTTAGTTGTTTAAGAACTCAAAATTTCTCTCTTTTAAGGTCTTAGTTTTACATCTTTCATTCTCCTTTTTATCCTAATTTGATATGGTCCAAATTTCTGTTTAAAAATAGAAAGTTTTGTCATTTACGTATGAGACTTGCTTCAATCTTAATCTACTTGTAATAATTAGGGATGGTAAAGATTCGGTTTTGATTTTGATTTTATTTTGCTCTGTTTTTTGTTTTGCATTAGAGTGCTACTTTGCATTAAAGGTATGGAACGGTCAAAAATCCGGCGCAGCAGCAGTTCTAATAGCTGACAACGTAGACGAGCCATTGATAACAATGGACTCACCAGAGGAATCCAAAGAAGCTGATGACTTCATAGAGAAACTCAGCATTCCCTCCGCATTAATCGACCAATCTTTCGCCAACACACTCAAGCAAGCTCTTAAAAAAGGAGAGGAAGTAGTCCTCAAGATAGACTGGAGCGAGTCGTTGCCTCATCCGGACGAGAGAGTGGAGTATGAGCTATGGACCAACACGAACGACGAGTGCGGTGCGAGGTGCGATGAGCAGATGAATTTCGTCAAGAACTTCAAAGGGCACGCGCAGATTCTCGAGAAAGGAGGGTATGCTTTGTTCACGCCTCATTACATTACATGGTTTTGCCCTAAAGATTACGTGTCCAGCAATCAATGTAAGTCTCAGTGTATAAACCAAGGGAGGTACTGTGCTCCTGACCCTGAACAAGACTTTGGAGATGGATACGATGGGAAAGACGTGGTTTTCGAGAATCTGAGACAGTTGTGTGTTCATAGAGTGGCTAAAGAGAGCAACCGGTCTTGGGTTTGGTGGGACTATGTGACTGATTTTCACATCAGGTGTTCTATGAAGGAGAAGAAGTATAGCAAAGAATGTGCAGAGAGTGTTGTGGGATCTCTTGGTAAGAGGCATTCACAATCTTTTTTTTTTCTTTCTTTCTTCATATTAGGGATCTTGAAAATTCTCTTATTTACAGGTTTACCACTTGACAAGATCAAGAAATGTATGGGTGATCCTGGAGCTGATGTGGAGAATGTGGTTTTGAAAGCTGAGCAAGCGCTTCAGGTAGGACAAGGAGACCGCGGAGATGTCACAATCTTGCCAACATTGATCATCAACAATGCTCAATACCGCGGTTTGTGTTACATTCCTTCTCATTGTAACATGTTTGTTTAGATCATTCAATATGTTACCGGAAAGTTGTAGGGTATTTAGAGAGTTCATTGTTCACGCATATATCTTGTTAGTTATTTGTTATAGTATAGTATTACTACACATTCTGCGGGCCGTGGAGGGAAACTTTGCTGTAGAGCATGTTAGAGCGGATGGACTTGCAAAGTGGAGGTGAGCAAACATGTTTGTTTAGATCATTCAATATGTTACCGGAAAGTTATAGATTCTTAAGTTCTTAATCTGCTTCATTTATTCAGGTAAACTCGAGAGAAATGCGGTACTAAAGGCTATATGTTCAGGGTTTAAGGAAAGAACCGAACCCGGGATCTGTCTAAGTGGAGGTTAAACTTGATTTCCATTGCAACCTGATCAAAACTTTTTGGTAGTGGAATACTAAAGAAATCTTCTTACACTTTTGAAAAAAAACAGACATTGAAACAAACGAATGTCTTGAAGCAAATGGAGGATGTTGGCAGGACAATAAATCTAATGTAACAGCTTGCAAGGTACTTGATTAATACCCATCAATATCACAATTTTGTTCTCATAGTTATTGATGGGCTTTTTTTTCACCTAAATTGGATACTATCAGGACACATTTAGAGGAAGAGTTTGTGAATGCCCTGTTGTGAATGGTGTGCAGTATAAAGGAGATGGCTATACTTCATGTGAACGTATGTACTTTAACTTTTATCATTGTTAGAAACTTTACTACACGTTATTTTGTGTTGTGGTTTGAAAAAGAAGTCATTTTTTTTTCTTGAATGGTTTTTAACAGCTTATGGACCTGCGAGATGTTCAATGAATCAAGGAGGCTGCTGGTCTGAAACCAAGAAAGGCTTAACTTTCTCCGCTTGTTCGGTTAAGTATCTTCTTTTATGTAATAATGCCATAAAGTTTAAAACTTTTCATCCAAGTTACTCATTTTTAACAAATTTTCTCCAATTTTTGAATGCAGAACTCGGAGACATCAGGATGTCGTTGCCCTTCAGGCTTTAAAGGAGATGGTCTTAAATGTGAAGGTGAATACTTTTTTCCCCACTAGCTTACATTTCAAATTCTCTTATCTTGTTTTCTTAGACTGATAACTGATTCATCTTTGTTTATATATTTACTAGACGTTGATGAGTGTAAGGAGCAATCAGCTTGTCAATGCGATGGATGCAAGTGTAACAACAAATGGGGAAGCTTTGAATGCAAATGCTCTGGCAATCGTCTCTACATGAAAGAACAAGACACTTGTATTGGTAAACGTCGAAATCAAACAATCAAGATCTAAACTCTATCAGATTCTTATTTTGCTTTTGTTTCTTGTCATCGCAGAGAGAAGCGGATCAAGAATAGGATGGTTCTTCACATTTGTGATCCTAGCTGCAGTTGCTGGTATCTGTGTAGGGGGTTACGTGTTCTACAAGTATCGTCTCAGGGTATGTTTTTTTTTCACACTTTTGCTTCTCTTAACGAATCTTCAAAAATTCATCATTCGTCAGCATGAATCTCTCTAATGATAATTCTGATTTTGTGTGTCAAAATCCAAAAAATGCAGTCTTATATGGATTCAGAAATTATGGCGATTATGTCTCAGTACATGCCATTGGAGAGCCAAAACACAACCGATCCAATGACTGGTGAATCTCAACATCAACAGCTGAGATTAACTTCTGCAGCCTAAATTTAATTTCACTTTTGTTTAATAGAGGATTTGTTGTTGTGTTAACCTCAAGGAAAAAGTCTTTATAAAGAGCTAAAGAATAAATTTTCTTTTGTTTTTACTTTTTATTGTTTATCCTGAAAAAAAAATTATTTTTGGGTCACTTTACTCTTCTTTTTCTTCCACTCTTTTGGTTGTTGTAGATAGAAGAGATACGTATGCTTGAGATTTGATAGGGTATGAAATGAAGATTGTAGTGAAAGTGTGAGCAAAATTGGTTTGGGACTTTGGTTATAAATGAAACAATATGAAGCGTCTCATATCTCATAGCAGAGAATCTTTAACATTATACTAAAACATAATGTATAGGATAACACATAGGTTTGCTTCCAAGTAATGTGTAACACAGTTAAGACATGAACATGAACAAAATAGCTAAAGCCAAGGGTTTGTCGATTGCTTGCTCTTCACTCTTCACAGATGGAGCAGAGTCGCAGAGGTCACGCTTTTGTGGTTTTGGCCTTGGCTTTGACTTGATGTATTTTGCATCGTTAAGATTAAGATCCTCTATGTGGTCCACATAAGCGTTAACTTCACAACGATTCTCCAAACCTAGGATTTCAACACGTTGGAGAGTCTTTCTTTCGGGATTGAAGTAGAAAACGTAAAACCGTTCAGAAGTATACTTCTCCGACAAGACAATTTCACCGGTAGCAGTCATTCCAACGATGGAAACATTGTCTAGGTCAAAAGGCGGATTCTCCGGCAAAGTGTAGACGTATTCCGACCATTCATGTCCCTCTAGAACCCATAAACACAACCTATTCATGTTGTTCCAACTAAGGGCACCTAATTTACCGTTATAATTTATCAATTAAAAAGCGTCCAAAGGAATGACTCTTGCGTCAATATACTCCTTGATTTTTTCAGACCTAACATCAAAGCAAACTATCCAATGAGAATAGTTTAGAAAAGCGTAGTAGTACAAAACCCCATTGATGCATATCCCTTGATCATGCCAACATTGGTAAGGATAATGGGCTAAGGGACATTTGATCTTCCTCCACCTCATCTCTCCACTTTCTAATGTCACAATTACATAATTCCTGCCTTCATCACATATGAGCAATACTTTGAATTGCTTGTCAATCGGATCAAACCCTAAAAAGCTATACGACTTTCCGTAACTTCTTATCGGTTTAGACTTTAGATAGGGTCGCGTATTGTCCAGTTATAGGGTTACAAATAAAAGGCACTGTATCCTCCTCATCCTTATTTGAGATTTGCATTTTAGAGAAACAGATCAAAGAAGAGGTCAGGTGACAAGAGGTTGAACGCATGTCTTCAGGGAACTTCATATGAAATTCTGACTTGGCTACTAGAAGAGGAGACGACTTGTCATGTGGACTATGAGGCTGAAGCGACGAATAAAAGCTCCACTCACCGAGTTGTCGGAGAGCCAATAAGAGACGCGGACGAGACAATGACCTTGTCAAGAATAACTCGGTGAAATATGGACGGTGAAGTCTGGACCTCCACAGCTTCGACAGGCAACGGCATCTGATTCTTCTTTTCTTGTATTCATGATCGACTTTTGTATCTGCTGATGTATATATGAAGTCCGTAAAACGAATAACACCCTCTTAATATAAATACTGTATTAGGTTTAAGATTTAGGGTTTAGAAAGTAGAAAAACAAGAAAATATCATAAATTTAAATCTTCATCACCGCCACAGAAATTCACTAACAAAAATCTTGGCCGTTGATAAATAGTTTTCATAATGGACCCAATTTACAGAGCTCTCAGCCTGTAGTGTAGGACTAGGATCCACGTTTTCTGATCCAATAGGTTGTGAGATTTTTTCGAACATGAACGTTTTTTATAGACCGCCAATGGAAAGCTCGTACCCCAATAGTGAATCCAAACTTTCAAACTCTTCTCTTATAAAAGAAATCACTGCTAAAAAAGTGGTTATTGTTACCATTTTTGTTTTGTCACAATATAAGAATATTCAGTCACAATAAAATAGTTACAAATCCGCTTTAGTCTCAAAAATGTCAAAGAATATTGTGACGATTAACAACGGTAACAATATTGATCTTCCTTGTTTCCAAGTTTTCTGTTATGTTGGTGAGGGAGAGACAATGCATCTAAACGGAGCTATGAGTTTCTTCAATAGGTTTAGTGAAAACAAAACGAATCAAACCTTCCAAATATTTGCTTGGCATTAAGAAAGATTTAAGAGTTTGTTGAGTTTTACTAAAAGTTGTATAACCCGTCCATTTGTTGTTGTTGAAGTAGTCTCAAACCCTTTCTATATCGGTGGAGATTGTTCCAATAGATATTATTTTTAAAGGAAATGAAAATAGCTACGAACCTCTAGTTGAAACCAATCATAAATCATGGTTACATTGCGTCATTTCTGCCAATTCATACCACAGAGACAGATTACTATAACATTCTTATCGCCCCCATGACATTTCCCTAAAATTGGATAAGGTTTTGATAAAGTCAAATGGAACATAATGAGGATATAAGTAAGAGTTTTGGTATGTGATAGCTTGAGGGAGATGAAAACATGAAAGAAAGTATGATAAGCCAATACAACGAAACACCATGAAGATAGAAAAAAAAAAAGCCACATCACAGCTAAACTAACTAGGCTCACTATTTCATCAAGTTTAGATTCTCCGCATGGTCCACAAAAGCATAAATTTTACCAACAGTCTCACCAAAACCTTGGATTTCAACACGTTGGAGAGTGTTCCTTGCGGGATTGAAGTAGAAGACGTAAAACGGTTTAGAAATAGAGTTCATCGACAAAACGATTTCACCTGTAGCAGTCACTCCAGCGATGAAGTAAGAGTGAAGACTAATGAGTTCATTCTCTGGCAAAGTGTAGACATATTTCTACCATACCTCTTTCTCAACATCCTCTAGAACACGCAGATGCAACTCAATGACACCATTGTCAGTATACTCCCAACGAATCCCACCCAATTTACCTTTATAGTTTATCAATTTATGGTTATCTTGATCAAGACAAAAGAAATCTGCCTCGATGAGTTTGAATTTCTCAGACCTAACATCAAAGCAAACTATATTCACATGAAAACTATCCTCATCAGACGTTCCGTAATCATCTTCATCAATCACATGACCAGGCCGCTCAAAAGTTTCATGTATGTAATACAAAACCCCATTGATGCATAACCCTTCACGTAAAGTACTGGATAAGGGAGAATCGATCTTACTCCTCCACGTAAGTTGTCCAGTTTCTAATGTCAGAATTTCCATATTAAACCTTCCACCACAAAATGGAGAAACCTCGGCCAATACTTTGAATTTTTTGCCAATCGGATCAAACCCTAAAAAGCTTGTCAACTGGCTGTGACTCATCACTCTAGGTAAGATTGCATGTTGTCCTGTGATAGGGTTACATACTACAGTCATTGGCCGACGCTCCTTTGAGAACCACATATTAGGGAAACAAATCAAACCAGAGGTATATCTACAAATGTTTTGATACTTGGGTCCACAGAACTTTGTATGAAACTCCGCGGCTACGAAAGACTCATTCCCATGTGGATTCCGAGGCTGATGAGGCGACGAGAAGAAGCTCCATTCACCGGCTCGTTTGATGGCGAATAAGAGACGCGGACGAGCACGTGACCTGGTCAAGAACAACTCTGTGAAATATGGTTGGCTAAGCATGGAACACCATAGCTTCGACATGGAACATAACCTCCCGACTGACTTTGCTGGCAATCTCGAGAATATCTCGAGAATAAGATCAACCAGGATAGAATCTGAAACTTCTTCTTCTCCTCTGTCCATGATGATCGTTGTATTTGCTGGTGATCAGACGGCAAGAGAGTTCATATATGTTGAAACTTTATATGTTAATGACCTAGTAGAGAAGCCTATATGAAGACCTAGCTACCGTTATCTATATATATAAAGTTCATGTTCCTCTCTTCTGATCGCTTCTAAATTCTCCAATTTGCTACATCAGCATATCAATTTATTTATTATATTTTTGGGTTTTTTCTATCTTAATTTTTATAATAAGTATCATTTATTACTATAGTAACTTAATAAGAATATGAACAATCATTTAAAAATAATTATATATAAATCTACAAAAATTATAATTTAGTAATAATAATAGAAAGTTATTATAGAAATAAATATTAACTTTACGAAAAAACAATAAAACTAACACAACCAGCGCGAAGCGCGGATCACCCCCTAGTAACTTATATATATCGTGTCAAGTAAAAAAATATAAATTAAATAAAAAAGCAAACTATCTTGTTCGGATACTTGCCTTGTGGTTGAAGTCTTTTAACACTAGTTCATAGAAAAAAAATGAAAAGTTGAGATAATTATTAAAGTTGAAGAGTTCAATCAGAGGCCAGAGCTAGCTACTACCATTTTCAACATATGGCATTTGATAAAAATGATCTTCAGGACAAAGAATTGTCAAGCTGCCCATCAGATGCTTAAATCCGAAATATTCTTCTTTGACTTCTCTCCGACGTACACTGCAAGAAACTTGTTACCAAAACATCTTTTATTTTCTGAAACCAAGGCTTTATTTTTAGTCTGTTGAGTTTTCTCCTACACAGTTGGCTAATCAAAGTGTTTACCAATGCGCTGTAACATTGTTGTTGACGGAGACTTATCCACAGAGATCCTTGTAGTTAGTTTCACCTTTCACTTCGTGAAAATTATGCTTCAGTTGCAAGTTATATATCAAAAGATTCATTTTTTCTGCTCAATGTTTGCTTTCAAAAGAACAGAGTGATACCAAACTACCTCAGAAATACACATACCTTAAACAACGTTCTCAATGAGAACTCACACACACACACAGACAAAACTACACAAGACTCTCTTTAACTACGTTATAAACTTTGAATCCACTTCATAGTCCACAAACGCATAAACACTACACTCACTCTCAAACGCTTCACTGTACTCTCCAACACCTCTGACCTCAACAGCTTGTAGAGTCTTCCTCTCCGGATCAAAATAGAACACATAAAACGGCTTCCACGTAAACCTATCCGACAAAACAATCTCCCCCGCACCAGTCATCCCAACAACGAAAACATCAGTCACAAAGACCTCATTCTCCGGCAAAGTGTATACAAACTCCGACCACTCACACCTCTCAGCATCCTCAAGAACCCTCACAGTCAACACAACCGCATCATCATCACCATAAGTCAACTCAATCCCACCTAGCTTCCCCTTGTAATTAACCAATCTAGTACTATGCGGCACGCTAAAGCAATCCGCGGAAACAAACTTAAATCCCTCAGACCTAACATCGAAGCAAACAACCTCACAAGACTTGTCATTTTCAGAGCTATTATTCTTCTCACCAAAGTAATACAAAACCCCATCGATGCAAATCCCTTCACTCACAGGCAAATGCTGTAAGCTACATTTGATCTCTCTCCAAACCTTCTTCTCTTCTCCGTCTCCTCCTAACGTCATGACTCTATGATCACCACCTTCAGAGCAATACGGATACGCCATGAACAAGACCTTGAATTGCTTCCCGACCGGATCAAACCCGATAAAGCTGTAAGATTTCCGGTACCTGCTCAGCTCCGGTAAGCTCGCGTGCTCTCCGGTGATGGGGTTGAATATCAGAGGCTCTTGGCAACCGTTCCTCGAGGCGGTGAAATAGATCAAGCGAGAGGTGAGGCCGCGGAAGACTGGCCACATGTGTGTACAGATCTTCATGTGGAAATCGGCGGAAGCTACGAGAGGAGACGACGAAGGTTTCTGGTGAGGATGAAGCTGAAGCTGAGGCGTTGAGAAGATGATAACCTCGTCGGTGGCTCGTTGGAGTGCGAATAGGAGACGTGGACGGATTTGCATCGAGCGGCATTGCTTGGAGACGCAGCGAAACCTGGCGATTGATTTCAGAGGAAGTTTTGGGAAAATGTCGTCGAGGATGAGATCCATCGGTAAGGAGGTTTCGGAATCTTCTTCTCCGATCATGGCTCGTTTTGAATTTTCCTTCATAGCTAAAAATTATTAAGAGAATCCGAGCTCGAGCTTTTGATGTTAGCGTCGTCTCTGCGAAAGGATTCGCTCTGGAAGGTTCTCACAAAACCCTTGGATTCGTAAAACGCAGAACTTAGGCGAGTTTTGTGTGCTTTACATTGAAATGGATCTCATTAAGGCCCGGCCCAGTTTATAAATGGGCCAGGCCTGGTTTCACCCACGCATTTCATTTTGAGCCGAACAAAAATTACAGAATTACTACTACTACTAGCTTAAATCCAGTATTGTAATGTACACTGTTTCTCTCAAGAACCCTAAATCAAAATCAGGAAGGGAACAAAATCAAAAACCCCTAAATCCTCCGACATCGAGAACTTGCGTCTATCTCCTCCTCCGGCGTCGATATGAAGTCTGAGGAAACTGTTACCGGAGGTATGTTCTCGTTCCGGCTATCTCTCTTCACGATTCTGTTTTGGGGATGTTAATGTCTTGCCATTTACTCATTATCTCATTTTTGTTCATAATCGCTCAAGTTGCAGATTCAGAGTAATTATAAACCATTTCTGCCAATCTTAAGTACGATTTTGTTAGGGATAATTAGGTAGAGATTATTGGATTTTGGACTATGACCTCTAGCGACTGTGAGAGAGAAATGTCGAACACTGAAAGTTAGGAGAGACCTTTTAGTCTTATCACCAAATTGGTTTAAGTTGTAAATTAGAAACCTTTTATTCACTTTCTGATTGAATTTTGTTTGTATGTTTAATAAGCAATGACGAATACGGCGGCAGAGGCTCCGTACGACGAAGCTCAGACGTGGGTTTGTTGGGACATAGAGAAATGCCCTA